CTCTTTGTAAATCAGCCTTCCCCGTTTCTAGGGCCGATCGCCAAGGCACGTGTAACTAGTTTTAATGGTATCCGAGTTCTTCGCACGTGTACGTGAAACAGGAAGAACGACGAGCTTCGGTCTTTCGTTTTTTTAACGATACATATATATATATATATATATATATATATATATATATATATACGTGTAGGATATGTGTAGAGTGTGTCTTTCGACCGCGTCCTTGGACGCGAAGCGTCGAGACCGCCTCGCAAAGCGCGCGTGGGCTCTCTTCTGTTTTCTGTTATCGCCGATCATCCGCTGGAATCGGCCAGATCCAGTGACACGAGCGAACCCGCTCGTAATCTTTGCCTGGTGGTCTCGCTCGGCTCAGACGCTGCAACCGGAAGTGACCTCCTCGTTGTTCTGCTGATGAGACCAACGACACTGGTGGCAACCCTTCGGTTCCTCTGCAGCGGCAGCCACACCGCCGGACGCCCTCAAACCCTGTTCGAGCTCCAACAATTGACCCATGAAGTTCAGGTTAGGGCTGATGATTGGTCGCGCGTTCTTCACAAGTTTGTACGCCTCCACCATGGACAGGCCCTTGTGCCGCATTATGTACGCGATCGCGATCGTCGCGCTGCGCGACACTCCTGCCTGACAGTGCACCAACACGCTGCTTCCGGCCTTCCGGGCTTCCTCTGCAAGGCAAAAGAACAAAGCTACGGTTAGTCTTAAAAAAAAAACAAAGTGCTCTCCTGTATAACTGATAGGCGATCAAAATTAAAACTCTCTCTCTAATTATCACTCAATAATCACATACTCTATATAATATATAATACTCTAATATAATAATATAATAATATAATAATATAATACTCTAATATAATATATAATATCTAATACTCTATATAATATATATCCTATAACCCTTTAACCCTTTCGCTACGAGCAGTGACTATAGTCATCCAACGATTGATGCTCGTTATGTACGATCGGTTACTACAGTATATATACCCGTGTTTTGAAACTTTCCATACGAAATTACATTATTATTAAATT